GAGATAATTAGATAATTTATTATCTCAAGTTAATGATTAGTAAATGTGATTAATTAATTTTAATTAATTTTAATTAATGTTAAATTAATTATTCAATTAAACTAATTATCTTGATTAATTAATTTTAATTCTCATTTAACTTTAATTTTGGTCAAAGTCAAAGATATCTTTCATATCTCAGTTTCATCCAGAACTTTCATGATTAAGCAATTCAGTCCATGGGTTTCAACTCTTTTCAAATTAGTCCTTTGTGCTTTGAATTTAGTCAAGTCAGTCCATTTAATTTTCATGTGTGTTTATTGTGCATGCATGTTCTTGATTTTGTCCATTTTAGTCCAAAAATTTTAAAAATGTTTTAATTTGGTTTATCCCTTTTTCAGGCTTTCCTATTAAGACTCAAACATAAATATAATAAATAAGTTGAATCAAAACCCCAATGTTAAAGTATGCAACTGTGTTTAAACGGAGGATTGTGAAGTGCGCGTATGCCCTTCCTCACTCCTAACTGAACCCCCGAACCCCAATCTCTGCGCAGACCCGTTTTAGGTAATTTGTCCCACCTTATAATTTGGACGAGTGGCGACTCCCTTCTTTTTATATTTTCACACTTAATCCCATTTTAAGTGGTCATCAACAATTATCAACAATTAATAATGAAAAATGAATGATTATGATTTTATATAAAACATATAAGTAAGATTCATATAAGAGTATCTTCTTTGCCATCAATTTAAGTAATTTAATGGTAATTTTTTTCATTAAAAATAAAAGATTCTAAGTTTGAATTATGTGATACAAGATGAGGTGAATTAAGGTATGAATGAAGATTATCTCTTATTGTATAATTTAAAATTAAAAAAACTAAAAGAGTACCCTATATATAGATGCGTGTGTGCGTGAGATTCATGTTTTATAAGATTTAATTTCCTATTAAAAGTATAATTTAAGTATTAAAATTATTAAATTGGCATTGATAAAATAAAATAAAAAATTATTGCTTTATTGGATTCAATTGATTGTATGGCATTTAGAAAGGAGGTTTGCAGGTAATTTCCTTGCGGTTCCCTTTTTATCAAAAAGAAAAGAAAAATCATCGGAGGAGAATCTAGCTTTAACTTTAATGAAATTTCTTACCTGGAATGCTTTCTAACATGGAGGTCCATTTCCTACTCCTTTCCTTTCCCACCAAATTCGAAAGAAACAAAGATATCACATCCTATCAATGAGGTTTACATACCACCATCATTGGTTGCTAATGAAAATGCGTAAAAGTTACGGGTAAATAGATTCTGATCATATAATTTTATATGAGTAAATTTTATAAT